TCCATCAGTAGGAACAGCGAAAATGGAGGGCGAGATAAAAAATGGCTGTGTGAGGCTCATACAATGCTTTTCAACTGACTACTAGGCATCAATCGTGTCTCGGCTTGTAGAGAGCCTAGAAGTGCCAGAAAAAAACTTCCTAAGCACTCACCAATCACTTAGCCCAAGATTGACATTAAACAAGTAGATAAGTAAATGAAGAAAACCTGTTAATTTCTATATAGATCCGTCTCTGAGGACCACCCTAGGTATTCTCAACGAGAGCTCAGCTCTTGTCTAACTCTACAGACCTCTGAGGCGTAAAATTAATACATGTCTCTTGGTTGCTACCACAGATGATACGGTCCGGTATAAGGAAAGCTTCTTTACGACCTCTATTGCATTCTGGTTTTCATTACTATGTAAATTTCACTTTTAACTGGAGACACATTCGCAAAATTTGGCCGTGAAATAAAAAAAAGGAAATGCTTTCCTTTGGTAGTTTCACTCGTTTTGTTCTTCTTTTAGTCATTTTCATGAGCTTCCACTGAAGAAAAAATTGAAAGCAGCGAGCTAAAGGCTCATATTGTTTTACCCGGGAAGCTTATTCGTCAGCCTCGACTTTGTGAAGTACCGGAACCATGACTAATCTCAAACATCTTGAAGTTGAACTATGGAAATTAACGACTAATTTTACACGCAGTTGAAAGACGTACCTTGAAACTCGAGAGTGTAGACTGTGTTATCTGCTCTTATATCATCGCCAAACGCACCTTGCTGAAGTCCATCCTTAAAAACTTGCTCGATCGTAACTCCAGAGGGTCCTCCAGCCTGCAGTGACAGCATAAATTTCCCTTCAAACGGAGAATTGCAGGTAGCGCTCCTAACTTCCACTCCACAGGGTCTGAATTCTGCTTTAATAGATATTTTTAGAAGCTGTAGATTGAAAAAACGTGAGAGTGATTATGAGAGAAGAAGAACTTAAGATTTCATGTCGTACTTTTGCATTCGGTGATGATAAGACTTAAAATTAAACCATTCTGCGTTTTGTTATAGACTTTTTCAAAAAAAAAAAGAGTAAATCCGCGAGTTCATGAAAGGTAATACATTTAAAAGATATATCTACTCGATTGCAAAACAGTCACACCTAAAAAGGACGATATACGATATACGAACGCTATGACCCAACGGCCTCAAGGGAAATGTTCACATATAGATAAATAGTAAGTAGTTCTTTCATGAACTGAGAGGCTGGAATAGGACACCCTGGCCAATTACAGACCCAGAATTTTTTAAACCCCAAATTGATTCAGAAAAATCCTCATTGTGAGAAAAATCTCTATACAGTTATAAATTATATTTTACCAGTTATTAAATTTAAGATATCCAGGTTAAAAATGCCCGGATTATTTAAAAGTTATTCGAGTTCGGGATAAGACTCTTTTTTTTCCCCTTTTCATTTTTCACTTTCACTTTTTTCTCCTCATCTAGGATTCATTTATATTTCTCATCGTCTATCAAACGGCGCAATAAAACATATTTCAGTGTCTTTCCAGAAAGGAGCAGTCACGGAATGATGTTAAAAAGCATTGTAATGAAAGGAAACAAGCTCCCTACTTACGCCAGCTATTACGATATCGGTTAAGACCTTCAACTTGCCGCCAGAGCAATCAGCTTTGACTTTCAGGGAGAATAATACTACTGGACCTAACCCTACGAAAATTGAACAAATAAGCAAATAAGCAAATAAGCAAGGGCTCACTTTAGTATTCATATTGTGTTTGCCTAGAGGATTGTGGCAATATTCCTTGAGGCTGAGGTGATGGAAATGAATGTCTACCGCAAGCTTTGCTTTTAGTGACTCGAAACTCTGAGGCATACAGTTAAATTCAACTTTCGATATAATTTGGTACAAATTAAGTTGATCTTTCTTCAGCACTTACTAAAATTAAGAGCGATAAAATTATTGGAATCAGAGCATTAGCTCAATTGCAGTGAAACCAGGCATCTTCAAAACAAGGTTAAGTGAATTCTTATTCCTTGTGAGTCATTGTCTGTGCTGGATCTAAAGAGGATGGAAATTGGTCACTTGCTAGTGTCTCTGGCAGTGGATTCACTGAAACATTTTACCTTTAGTTCCTCGAGTAACAAGCCGATGGAACCTTTGGAAAAATCCGTCGGGCGGTTAATTGACGCCGTCGACTTGACCTTAATGATCAACAATTCATTTCACTCTCGCATGCTAGGGCCACAACAGTTCCCCAAGAATCTGATTGTTATACTCGCCTACACTAATGTCCACCGAAACACTGCATGAAGGTAGTCCTGTTGGCGTGGTTGACGGTGGTCCTGTTGTTGGCGTGGTTGACGGTGGC